CTCAATAAGTGGCTAAGTAGCAATTTAATATGATTAGATCTAAAGATAAGAACTAATGACATTAAATGATTACCTACTTATCCGCTTAGTGAGCGATTATAATACTAAAGCACCATTGTTACATGAATCCAAATATCGTTATCTATATTTTATTAAAAATTATAGTGATTGAATAAATTGTTTATTCCTACGCTAATACAGTGATGTAGTATAATTAAGGTGTAGGTATAATTAAGAGTGTAACACTAATACTTTAGTTATTGCAGTTATGGATAATTACAAATTTCGAACTATACCACTGCTGATATAAAATGGTTTGGTATTATTCTATTCGTTGTTATTCTGATTACAAGCAAAAAAAAATCATATGTACAATTCTTGGACTATTAAGAATTGTAGAAGTTCATGCTGACGATGATCAAAACTATCCTAATCTTTGTTCAAAAATTGGTAATCAATCAGAAGAAAAGTCAACGAGCTTTGTAAAACCTAAAACATGCGATGGAATGAGCAGCGCATTTCAAAAGATTTCGATGAGCGAACATGAATAATAAATTGTAAAGAGACGTCCATATTTGATATATCGGTGAAAAATTTTCTAAACGCATTTACAAATGCAAAATGGATGCGATGAATGTGGTTTGCAATGTGAGAATTGCATTTTGATTCGCTTTATGCACTCTATAAAAAATATAAAAATCAAAGGGAATTGATGAAAATCTATTCTCTGTGAAATTATGAATTCCTAATCTACGAAATCAAGAATAAGTTTTAGAATCGTTAAATTTTTATCTTCTAAAAGTATTTACGTATTTTATAGTTATGGCATAATAACTGAAAATTAAAAAAAGTTAATTCCATACAATATATAAGATTATTTCTTAATTTTACATTTAATTAAAAAATTGTCTATACGATATTTGCACGTTGCAAATAAAAATCCGTAGAATACAATTTAACAGCTATATTATATACATATACTACATAAATATAATTTTCTATTCAATAATGTAAATGTAATATAATTTACATAACAAATTACATTATTGCATAAGAAATTATAACTTGATGCAATGTTATAGGTCTGTATTGACTGTATTCAACGGACAGAGACAGACGTTAATTCAAAATTTTTAAACTAAAAAAAAATTTAATATTTTACTTTAAAAAATTAAGCATTCGTTATACAGAGAAAAATCCTCTTTTGTCAAATTCGCTTTAGTTTTAGCTTTTTTTTTACAGAGTGTACATTTATATTGCATGCCAGCCGAACTTTATAACGTGCGGATGATCGAGAAGTGAATCCTGTAGACGCGTTTAATTTCGATTGATATATCAACGAATGTACATGCTACACATTAAATTTGTGTATATAAATGATGATGTGAGCTTCGAAGGCAATTCTAATATTGCGATATTACATAGATACACATCCTACAAATATGTGTATCGAGCGCGCCGATATATTACACGAAAATATTATATGAGCAACATGATGCAGGCATAATGATCGGTGCGTGCATCGTTGCAACAGAGCCGTTACGCAATTGCGTTCTATAGATATAATGTAGATATATGTCGTACATATATATAATCAATAAAACATTCTAGGTGAAAAGAGAATTTGATAATTAAAAATAATGTTGATGAACTAACCGTCAAACGTGACGTGGAACGATCCCTATGCACACGGGTATTCCCCATGGTAGTCTCTAAAACGTGTTATAGGTAATCGATTAGACTATGGATCACGAGGAGCACAGGTTTGCTAGCTAACAAAAATAACTGTATAGGCGATACAAAGTCCAGCTTAGACATTTATTTCGAAAATACTGACAAGGTCCTCTGTATACGTCTCGCGGCGATCATGTATGTACAAATAAATGCAATCGAGCGCATTAATGCAGCGAATCTGCGAAAATACGGGAAGAGCTTTGATCTCTCTCTTTTTTTTATTTCTCTCTTTCTCTCTTTTTTGTGAGAGTTATGTAATGTATTGTCGATAGTGTCTTCAACATTTTTTTTCCTCCTCGTTCAAGCTCCAAGTCCAAGCCTCGATTTCTCGGCAGCACCAGACGAGCCTTCCAAAACTGCCAATGGATTCTCTGTCGACTCCTTGCTCTCTTCGACCGGCTTCTCCTCGATCTTCTCGCCGTAAAGGTCTCTATATTTGCGCCTGACAACTTCCCAGTCGACGACATTATCGATTTTGACAACGTTACGGAAGGACAACTGACTTCCGAGAGGACTCAGGTGAGCCACTGATAAGGCGAAGCTATTCTTGTGTCCCACTTGCGTGTTCTTCTTTATCTTGGACAGCCATTTGGCTCCCATTCTGGTGCGAGGAGACATACGAGTGCCACCCATCAAGTGCATCAAAGAGGGTCGTTCCTTCTTTTTGGTCAGACGTTTCTTGCAAAGTTTGACGAAATATGTAATCCACGTGGACAGGAGATTCAGCGGAGATGGTGCCGTAGTATGCAACAATATCTACTGCTTTTTTGTATTTAAAAATTTAACTAGATGTAACTGTGAAAATAATTTTGTCGGATCATCAAAATCATTGTGTAGGAATCAAAAAGTTTTAACATTCTACTACTATCAGTCCTATACATTTATTTTATATATAATAAATTATTTATGTATAAATTACTTTATATTTACATACGCACGCGCGTATGGGTGTATATAATTATTTGAATATATGTATATGTATATAATTACTTGAAACAACCAACAGAGAATTATTTTCAGATCTGCTAGTTAAATTTTTTTATATTTCATCGCAGCCATTTTTTTTCGTGTTTTTTCTTTGGTGAGTTTTATACTACCTGTGCATATTTCGAACAAGCTTGCTCAATCCATATTTCCACTCGATGTCCGACTGTGCTTGTATCCGCTGGTAGGTATCACTCATCATAGCAATCAGAAGATTAATAAGCACCACCACCGACACCAACATGTAAATACCGAAGGTGATCTTGAAGAGGACGGTTGTCCATAAGGGCTGGAACCTGTGTACCTTGAATTGTTCGTGTGTCGTCTGACCGAAGATGGCGAAGAACAACAACTCACCCGCGAGTATGGGATTCATCATGACTGTAAATACGCGTTAAATAACGTGTTTCGTAAAGTGCCTGGTATATATGCGCGTAGACGTATGCAAAAATTCTCTGTCACTGCGCAGAACATGCTAAACGCTGCCACTACCAAACGTCGCAAAGAGAATCGATTTCAAGCCATACAGAATACATATGCTGCGACTCGTACAAACTCCTTATTTCTGTTTGTCGTTAAAAAAAAGTCGAAAGCGCGCTTAAGGAAAACTGGAAAAGCGCGCTTTTGTATAACGGAACGATTTCTAATTTTAAGCGCATGAAACGTAAAAGAAACTAGAGGAGAGGACTTGCGATGTATGTTACATGCAATATACTTGTAGAAAAATACTATTGGATTATACAAAAACTATCAAAACAAGTGTATGTAAATATAATATTTTATTGGAATAGTTTTCTATTATTTCCAGTCGTTCTTTTGCGAGTCCAATATTATTTTTCTATTATTATAAGGGAATTATCCCGAATATTGCTAATATTTAAAGGACATCCCAGACAGAAAGCATTGTCTAGAAAACCTCTTTATATATATTTTTTAGATATCTTTTAGACATGCATGCAATCTGGAATTTAATGAAGAGATTTTTCGATAGACGACTAGACGTGCCTTTAAACATTTGTAATATCAACAAAATTTTCATTATGAACCGTCCGTGTAAATGTTAGTTAAAGTTAATAGCTGAGATTTAGTCTCTTAAGATATGTCCTCTTGTTTTGTCTTTCTACAAAAACATTCACAAATTCAATTGAATCATCTCATTTAACTTTAATTAATGTTTACAGCAACGGCTTTCTAATGGAAAATGTCGTCGCAATGAATCAATCGAGAGGTAAAATTTGCTCCTACGGATGATAACGCGCTATGGTGTCACGAATGAATAATCCAACATTCAATGAAACATCGAGAGCGAGCGGATGTGACGGGGATTCGTGACAATTCGGCATTCGCAGGCATCATCCGGTCGTGCCATGTGACGGAGAAGGTATAATGTGTTCGGCGGAATTGGCCCATTCTCATATATCTCACAAACAACATCAATTATATGCGTTCCTACGAGATTCACGTATCATACGTCGAGAGACGTTTACTTACTTAGATGATTAAATGCTCGGCTGGTCGCCGGTGCGCCGAGGATCGTGCGGGGATCCTCTATGATGGTCTCGCTCGATCGTCTGAGAGGTCTGTGTCTGCGGTAGCGGTTTAAAATTTAAATATTGTTCATGGAGGTGAATATCTTTAGCGCACTTAATCTGTCGCTAAGTCTGTCTAGTAGGTAATACTGAGCACGGTAGTACAATGGCCGACGGTATCTTAATCGCTCGTTTGCTCGTCTTTTTTTTTTTTGGCGGGCTCGTACTTGGCAATTTGGCCGAAAAGTAGCAAAGGGCGATGACAAATTTTTTACGTGGGTGGATTTGAGGCTGTCGCCGGTATCGTCGACGCGTTGGATGCCGTTGGCCCATTCTCGTCTTCGTTCTCATCCTCGTTGGTCTTCTCTTCCTTCTCTTCTTCTTTCTCGGGCTCGTTCCCGGTTAGGATGAGATACTTCTTTCTGATCGAGTCCCAGTCCACTACATTCTCTATTCTGGTCGCGCTATTGAAGGACAGTTGGCTGCCCAGCGGGCTGAGATGCACCACGGAGAGGGTCACGCTATTCTTTGGGCGGACCTGACCTTTTTTGATCTTGGCCAACCATTTTGCGCCCATTTTTGACCTAGGCGATAAACGACTGGCGCGCCCGAATCCCATCATGTGCACCAACGAGGGTCGCTTGCGCTTAGTGGTGCGCTGCTTGCACAACTTGATGAAGTACACGGTCCAGGTGGTGAGCAAGTTTAGCGGGGATGGAGCTGTGGTAGTTCTGTAACACGCAATCGCGTTTCCAATACGGAATGCTCCGTTAACCCCCGAATAGCTTAACAGTGAGTTACTTAAGAGACCGGTTGAAACATACGCAGACTGTGTACGTAAAAGTATGTAAAAGCGAACGACACTGCAGCGATTCGTCTTGTAAACGCGAGAGCGTTGCTTCAAAGTTTGTTATATAACTCTATTTATAACATTGATGTTCTCTCTGACCAAACGCGGAAAAAGATAATCGGGCATGCTATTTCGGTCAGATCGCGTCAGTTATCTAACGGTTTATCATATAACGGATTATTATCGCACTTATATTCAGAGTCGTAAAAGGTCGCAGGCTTACCTGTGCATGTTTCGAATCAGTTTACTGAGTCCGTATTTCCACTCAATGTCCGATTGCGCCTGTATCCGTTGATAAGTGTCGCTCATCATGGCGATCAGCAGATTAATCAACACCACTACCGAGACCAACATGTACACGCCGAAGGTCAATTTGAAGAGGACCGAGGTCCACTGCGGCTGATTGTTCTCGACCTTCAGTTCGCCGTGGGTCGTTTGGCCAAAGACGGCGAAGAACAAATACTCGAAGGCGAGTACCGGATTCATCTTTACTGGAATTACGAGGCACACACACACACACACACAAGACGTTTCTTGGTAGCTCTAAAGGCTTTTTCGTTCTCTTTTTTTTTTTTATAGCTCATTGCTTTGTGCCATTACAGGCTACTACTGGTGGGTACTCGCTATTTAGTATTACAAATGCACATGTGAGTAGTATTTCATAACGTACACAACGATCGAGCGAGCGAGCGAGCGAGCGAACGAATAAACGGAACGAACATGCTCATGCATATCTTTTATATAGACTCTGGCCATGCTCTGCAGTTGCGGCTGCGGACTAACGCCGGATGCATGCCATGAATATCTTATTGCAGGCAGACGTTCATCGTCGAGTACGTACTGTCACTCGTCTTTTCAGCCTGGTCGCTCTAATTCGTCATGCATTTACATCTGACTCAGATGTAATTGCGCTTCCTTTTTTCTGTTTTTTTTTTCTTTCTTTTTTTTTCTTTGTCGTCCCGCGCTAAAAGATACTATATAGTGACGATGAAATTCTATCATCAGACCAGCGCGTTTCTAGGACGCGTGACGAGTCCAGCGATGCATCTCGCTCATTGGGGGATGCATTCCGACACTGGTGCGCCTTTACTCGAGGGAACTAGTGATCGAACAATAGGGGTCATTCGTCGTGCGTTCCATGCTGAATGAAAGAAAAAGAAAAAGAGAGGAGGGCGTGGGGTGGAGATTTTGAAACGTATCGCGCGATACGTTTGCGGTGGATAAAAAGGATGCGACATGCAGCTCGAAGATATGCGCACCCTCCTCCTTACTTATCTGGCTTGCACGACTCCAAAGGTAGACGCGTCACGTCGCGCGCGCAAAATTTATTTGCATGCAAAGATACGGAGGGAGAGGATGGAAGGATTCTTTTTCGTGCCAGTCACGGTCCATTGATAAGAAGAAAAAAAAAAAAGAAAAAAAAGAGGGAATCGCGCGGAGGGAACAATTTTTTGAGGGATTTGTATGAATTCCGTAAAGTCGATCGAGTCACATAAAAAATGACCGTGCGATGGATGCACATTATGAATTGCATACAACATCGTCCACTAGCATAAACACGATTCTAGCAACTTACATAATTACAGATATATGATGTAGGTACAGAGAAACACGCACGAACATACACATATGTGTGTGTGCGTTCATGTATGAATAATACATATACAGGACACATACGTACAGGCGAGACACGGGGATGCACACGGGCAGAGGCTGTGAAAGAAACACGAGCACATATGCTCCGGCAGTAACGCTAATCGACAGGCTAATCAATTGCATTGGCAGGAACGTCGTTCTCGAGCTTTCAGATCAATTTTATAAATATTTGTTCGGTATACGCTGCGATGCGGACGCTTCTCTCCAATCCGCGAACGGATCTGAAGCGAATAAGAGCATAAGAGGTTTTTTTTTAAATTTTGCAATTGCAGCAATAACCATGGGCGTAGCTATAGGATCTCAGTCAGAAGGAGCAAAAATTTATAACACTTATAAAGTTAGTTTTTGAAAATCTTTAATAAATTCTTTTTTTAATATTTCTCTTAGTTTTTTATTTTTTGTAAAAATGATTTTCATAATTTAATTGTTTCTCTTTCTAAAAATTTAGGGAGGGGGCAAACGCTCCCCGGCCTTCTTTGCATACGCCCATGGCAATAACTAATAAGTGGTTGCTGCACTGGAGTGCTTTTTAAACGATTGCAGTAATGTTTGCATACAAGAGAGATATATTATTCTCAGCAAATTCTCCATCGATCGTTTTCGTTTAAATTTTTTTACCATTGCCTCCGAATCACAGCATACAACGCGACAAGGAGAACATTCAATTTTGCGTGTATTTTTTTCCGAGTTCTCTCGTTTATTTTCTTTTCTTTCGCTTCGTCATATCAGGCAGCAGTCTCAGCAGACAACACACACTGGCCAAATGCACGATGCAGACGAGACGACACCGAGATGGAGGATCGTGTCCTGCATTCAGTTTCGCGTGCGCGATTTTTATTCCGATTTGCTTTCCGCGCTTGAGTTGCTTCTGATTAATCGTTCTCAACCAGCTGAAAACTTACAATCTCTGCTGTTATCGTCACAGCACTCATTCTTTTTCTTGTAGCGGCCGTAGCGACGAGGAGGCGCCGTTGGTGGCGTCTCCATCATCCATTCCGTAACATTGGCCAACAAATCTATCATTGTAATTCAGTCGATTATAATTCTGTATCGCTCCGCATGTCTCTGAGTATGATCGACATGAAGTAGACCTACTTTGGGATTTTGATAAATGACAATTAAGAAATCTAAACGCGCAAACTTGACCACACAACGAGTCAATGATTTTCAAAATAGGAATACATCTTTTAAGTAGAGGAAATGGAGAGAGGGTAAATGTTTAATTGTATCTGTATATAAATTACGCGCCGAATTGTACAATCAGTACAATTTCGATGAGTTTCAAATTTCCGATTCTGTATAATACTGAAATCTAAATTCATCGAAATTGTACTCACGTAGTTCTGTAACTCCTGACGTAAACAAACGCAGGAGTGGAAATACGCGATTGCACCGTTATCTCGGCACCCACGCGAATTAGCACCTGCGTGGGCAAAAGCACTGTCTACGTCCTGTTAATGGAAACCAGTACCGCGCGTCGAAGCGATTGCCAATCTAAGATCTAGCCCTACGTAGGTATCTACATAATGTATCTACGGTACATGTCGTATCTACAGTACGTGTGCGCGTATATGTATATATATCCTATAGACGGAACTGTAAAAATCAATTAATTGCGCCACTAGTTCTGGATTGGCGTCAAGGTATATATAGTGAGAGAAAAAGAGACAGAAAAAAAGATACAGGGTGGCGCCTAAAATGACCATATTTATTGTTAATAAAATTGATGTAGAATTGGATAGAATGGAATAGAATACATCGATCAAAGCATTGAAAAGTGAATGATTTAAATGATAATACATTTCGTGCGCCACCTTATAAATAGAAAGAGAGAGAGAGAGAGAGAGAGAGAGAGAGAGAGAGAGAGAGAGAGAGAGAGAGAG